TAGCTGTGGGTCTCTACTTCTTCCATCAGCTACTTAATGAAGGCTCTATGATGGCATTTAAAGTAGTCATCAATACCATTATAGGGGAAGGACATTTAAGCCTCTCCAGTACTGCTTAGATTCTTAGTTTGGGTCATCCTTGTAGATATCTGGACATTTCCCTAGTACCAGATTTCTCTTTAAACCTAATGGCTCCCTCTATAAAGATATCCATTTTCTGCATCTTCTGTAATTTCTTTCTTTAAAGCCTCAAAATTCTTGTTTTACAGGTCTTTCACCTGTTTGTTCAGAGTTACATGAAGATATTTTATGTTGTTTGTGGCTACTGTAATGGGTGATGTTTCTCTGATTTTTTTCTCAACCCATTTACCATCTGTATATAGGAGGACTACTGATGTTTTTTCGTTAATCTTGTATTCTTCCATTTTGCTGTGGGAGTTCCTTGGTAGAATTTTTCAGGTCACTTATGTAAACTACCATATCATCTGCAAATAGTGAGAGTTTGGTTTCTTCCTTTCTCATTTGTATCCCCTTGATTTCCTTTGGTTGTATTATTGGTTTAACTAGAACTTCAAGTACAATATTGAAGAGATATAGAGTGGACACCCTTGTCTTGTTCCTGATTTTAGAGAAATCATACTGAATTTCTCTCTCTTTAGTTTGATGTTGGCTGTTGGCTTGCAGTATATTGCCTTTATCATGACTGTTATCCCTGATATCTCCAAGATCTTTATTATGAAAGGGTATTGGATTTTGTCAAAGGCTTTTTCAGCATCTAGTGAGATGATCATGTAGATTTTCTTTTTCAGTTTGTTTATGTGGTCCATTACATTGATGGATTTTCATATGTTGAAGCATATATGGAACAATTTAAGCAGTATTGGTATTAGCTCTTCTTTGAATTTCTAGTAGAATTCTGCACTGAAGACATCTGGTCCTGGGCTTTTTTGGTTGGAAGGCTTTTGATGACTGCGTCTGTTTCATTAGGGGATATAGGCCTATTTAAATTCCTTGTCTGTTCTTGATTTAAATTTGGTAAGTGGCATCAATCCAGAAAATTGTTCATTTATTAAAATTTTCCAATTTTATGGAATACAGGTTTTCAAAGTATGACCTGATGATTCTCTGGATTTCTTGTGTCTGTTGTTATGTCCCCCCTTTCATTTCTGATTTTGTTAATTTGCATGTTCTCTTTCTGCCTTTTGTTTCATTTGGATAATGGTTTGTCTATCCTGTTGATATTCTAGAAGAACCAACTGTTTGTTTTATTGATTCTTTGCACTGTTTTCTTTGTTTCTACTTTATTGATTTTATCCCTCCATTTGATTATTTCCTGGTGTCTACTCCTCCTGGGTGAGTTTGCTTCTTTTTTTGCTCTAGAGATTTCAGGTGTTCTGTTAGTTCTCTAGTGTGACTATCCTCCACTTTCTTCATGTGGGTACTTAGTGCTATGAACTTTCCTCTTAGCACTGCTTTCAAAATGTCCTGTAAGTTTGGGTAGGAGTGTCTTAATTTTCATCGAATTCTAGGAAGTCTTTAAATTCAGGAGTGATGCAATTGAGCATTGTTCAATTTCCATGAATTTGTAAGGTTTCTGGAATTGGTGTTGTTGTTGAATTCCAACTTTAAGCTATGGTGATCCGGTAAGATACAAAGGGTTATTCCTTTTTTTTTTTATCTGTTGAGGTTTGTTTTGTTGCCTAGTGTGTGGCCAATTTTAGAGAAAGTTCTACGTGGCACTGAGAAGAAGGTGTATTCTTTTGTGTTTGGACGAAATGTTCTATAGATATCTGTTAAACTCAATTGGGTCAAAACTTCTCTTAGTTCCTTTGTTTCTTTTTTAAGTTTCTGTCTGGTAGTCCTGTCCAGTTTTGAGAGTGGGCTGTTGAAGTCTGCCACTATAACTGCAAGGGGTTTTATGTGTGATTTGAGTTTTAGTAATGTTTCTTTTATGAATGCCTTTCATAATGTGTTCAAAATTGAGACTTCATCTTGATTAATTCTTCTTGTGATGAATATGAAATGACCATCTCTTTTGATTAATTTTAGTTTGAAGTCTAATTTGTTAGATATTAAGATAGCGACATTACCTTGTTTCTTAGGTCCATTTGATTGGAAAATCTTTTCCCAACCCTTTACTCTGAGGTAACATCTGTGTTTGAAGTTGAGGTGTGCTTCTTGTATGCAGTAGAAGGATAGATTCTGTCTTTGTATCCATTCAGTTAGCCTGTGTCTTTTTATAGGCAAATTGAGACAATTGATATTGAAGAATATTAATGACCATTTATTGTTAATCCTTGCTTGTTTTCAATTTATTTTTTGGTGGTGGTATTGTGTGTGGATTTCCATTTTATTTGTTTTTGGATTTAGGTAATTTTGGATCATCTGTTGCCTATGTTTTTGGGAGCGTAGTTAACTTCTTTGAGTTGGAGTATTCCTTCCTGCACTTTCTGTAGGTCTGGATTTGTAGATATGTATTGTTTAAATTTAGTTTTGTCATGGAATATGTTGTTTTCTCCATGTATAGTTACACTACACTCACAATCTATTACACTTAACCCCTCCTCAAGCAGGAGAGGTAGCTTGACCAGAGCCCAGACGTCCACTCAAGGCCAGTAGTTTGCCATGACAATAGAAGAACCAGTTAGCCATGTTGCAGCATAAAATGGTTTGAGTCCCCGAAGAGCCACAGAAGTCATGTGACCACTAGTGCAGCACTATTTTCTCAGGGCAGAATGACTTCAGGTCTGAGTTGAGATGTTATCATGCTTAGGTGACATTTGTTCTTGTTCACTGGCTGAAGAAAGTGGAAACTAAAGAGCAGAATTCTGACAGCTACACCAGCCTGAGGACATTATCCAGCAGAATAAACTGCGTGGTGACCAGTCACAATCAGTGTCAGAAGACAGCCAATAGGGCTGGGAACATGCTCTGCCCTTGGCCTCTCGAGTGCTTCTATCTGGAATGAGGGACTCTTTGAGATGGGAAGAAATTGTGGTTTGGGGAGATAACTGGATCAAGGTACAGACATCTCCTCTGCCTGAGTGTTCCTTTTAGGACCTGCTGTCACTAGTGATGATGGCAGACAGCAAGTCCCTGGGTAGCAGGGCAGAGAGCCAGCCCTTGAGTCATGGGTCCTACCAAGTGTGTGCTGTGTTCCCTGAGAAGTGGCTTGGTCATCTCCCTAGCCACTCCTGCTCCAGAAGCCTGTATGGTTCTGCCTAATTAGTCCCTCAGAGCCTGATTTCTCCCTGTGATCACTTGTCTATTCCATTATAGAGAATTCAGGACCCCTGATCCTCATACAGACATCCTAATGTCCCCTCTTTATCTAGAGATGTTACCATAAGCTCTTTAAAAGTTTTAAATTTAATCTGATTCTATTTTCTAAAGAAGAAGCAGCAGAAGAAGTAGAAGAAGCAGAAGAATGAGAGAGAAAGAGAGAGAGAGACAGAGAGAGAGAGAGAGAGAGAGAGAGAGAGGTTTTGAGAAGCAAATTTCTGGAGAGGATTCCTGGGAAGATTCATGCTATAGCCTTATTAGGTGAGTTTTGCATTGATTGTACATGTACATGTGTTTGACAATTAATGACAATGTTTTGGTAATAGGGATGAGTTATTGCATTTTCCTATGTGACCAAGGTTCAAGAGATCATTTAACCTGCTATTTTTGAGAGAGTTCTGTAAGTATATGAAAAAATGAACTACTGGAGCATAGCCATTTCTCAGGATGTGCCTGTATATCCTTCATTTCTGCCTCTCTCTTTCTCTCTGATATCTTTTGTGTTTCTCTGGCTCTTCTCCCTTTTCTTGCTGTCTTGATGCCTCTATATCTTTCCCCACCTCAGGCTGAGTCTTCCATTGCTTCTCTCTCTCTCTCTCTCTCTCTCTCTCTCTCTCTCTCTCATCTCTCCACCTCACCATCATTCTGTCTCTGGTCTTATGACTTCCTTTTCCTCTCTATATTTCTATCCCACCTCTCCTTTCTTTGCTTGTACCCCCTTCACAGATCTCACATTGAACTATATAGCATCTTCTGCATCAAGGAGCACATTCCACAGGTGATGTCTTTTACCTTCCCTCCAGGGACACAGTGTTGTAATATTTAGATAAGGTCACCCACCTTCCAGACATTGCCCGAAGCAAATAGGAGAGTTGACATCTAAGCCCAAACCAAGAACTAGTTTCTTATGATGCTGGCTGTATACAGGGGCATGAAATTACACATCAATCTTTAAAAATGAATATAATCTAGTTGATTATTTTCAAATGCAAGCTTTGAGCTCCAGTACTCCTGCTATAGTTTATACAAAAAGTCACACAGTCTGCTCTTACCTCATCATTTTGAAATGGACATGTATCTATCCAGGCACACTCTGTTTAAGGCTTTCTAAACTCAGCTGCAGTTTTAACTCTGAGGCTGTATGGGTATAGGGGTGAGACAGGGCCCAATTCTGCTTGGTGCCCTATTTGTGTGCCCTACTTTAAAGCCTTGATTCCCAGCTTCAATGACACACAGATAAATGACTGCCATTTATAAAGTTAAATACACCAGTCACCTTAGAAGACTGTGGTTGATGCTGTTTTATATGTTCAGGTGATAGACACTTAACATCTTCCTCATTCCTCCCTGTTCCCATCCACTGTCTGAGCATTTGAATAGAAGGAAACTACAGCTATCCTTGTTTCCAGGACACACAGACTTCCACCACTGGAGTGTTTCTGGCGATGTTCCACCGTCTCTGAAGTCTGAGAAAAGAACCTTTTCAGTGAGAAACACCCTAGGTCCCCAAGGTTGATGAGTGACCACATCAATCTCCTAGAAGTCCCACACCTAGAATGACACCTGCAGCATTGGGTGGCACATTGTTCTGTTCTTACCCCAGACAGTCTGAGATTTACACATCTGGGATGGGTCTTTAGCACAAACTAGGACTAGAGCATGTATTTCCTCTTCAGAAACTATCAGAGCTGCCACAGAAATCCCACTGCCCCTGGATGCTGAGGCCACCACAGCTTTATGATGAATGGGACACTGGTCACTGAGTTCCTCATCCTGGGATTCTCAGAAATGTCTCATCTTCAGGTACCACTTTTCCTCAGCTTCCTCTGTCTCTACATGGCTGCAGTCTCAGGAAACCTGCTCATTATGGTGACAGTTGGTGCCAGCCCAGCCCTACATACACCCATGTACTTCTTCCTGGTAAACTTGGCCATGGTGGACATTCTCTGCACCTCCACCATCCTACCCAAGCTATTAGACATCATGGTCGGGGGGGAGGACCATCTCTTATGGGGGTTGCATGGCCCAACTCTACTTCTTCACATGGTCACTGGGGGCAGAGCTTCTTCTCTTCTCAGCTATGGCCTATGACCGCTTTGTGGCCATCTGTTGTCCCCTGCACTATAGTGCCTGGATGGGCCCCAGGGTGTGTGCATTCCTGGCTGGCCTTGTCTGGGCCATCAGCCTGACTAACACCAGCGTGCATACAGGTCTGATGCTGCATCTGCCATTCTGCAGCTCCAATGTAATAGAGCACTTCTTCTGTGAGATTCCCCCACTGTTGAAGCTCTCCTGTGCTCCAACACAACTGAACGAAGCCATGGCCTTTGCTGCGGATGTGTTCCTGGCTGTTGGGAACTTCTCTGTGATCATGCTGTCCTATGGCTTTATTGTGGCCAGCATCCTGAGGATCCGCTCTGCTGAGGGCAAGAGACGTGCCTTTTCCACCTGCTCTGCACACCTCATTGTGGTTTCCATGTACTACTCCACTGTCATCTACACCTATATCCGCCCAGCATCCAGCTACTCCCTGAACAAGGACAAGGTGGTGTCTGTCATCTACACCTTGGTGGCACCCACCTTGAACCCCCTCATCTACACTCTAAGGAACAAGGATGTCAAAGTTGCACTTAGGAGACTTCTGTTCTGCTGCTGAGCCTGTGGCTGCTCCACTGCCTTCAGCTCTGCTGCACTGGGGATCACAGGTTTGGTATTCGTCCCTGTTCCTTTACCCTAGGACACACAATTCATTGACCAACAAGAGACAATTGTTTGATGTCTGCCCTGAGAAGCCCATGGACCTGTACTTGAAACCCCATAGGAACATGGTATATCTATGAGGCTATGATCCTCAACAGTTAAGTAAATTCCCCAATACATCATATGTGGGTGTACTTAACCCTTTCTGCTGCAGTCACATGGGCCAGCAGTTCTGGGTAGACACTGCTTTGTGCATCTGTTCTCTTTAACTCCACAAGCTACTCAGCCTTGGTGGTGGCTGGCATGTGGGTAGGTGACCTGGGAATTGAATATAAAGGAACCTTGTCATTTGAGCACAATTAGTCTTTCTTGTTTGTGAAATATCTGAAAATTTGATTTTTTCCCCACTTTTTTATATAGCTCTGAAAGAGATTTTCAGGGAGAATCTTGCCATGCTGTGGGCATACTGTGGCATTGTGCGATGTGATAAGTCCTGCCCTTGCCTTTCATCCTGTCCAATGTGAACCACCAATAACAGCAGCACTTCCCTGTCAATGCTGGCTCTCACCCAGGAAGGTTCCAGCCACAGACCATGCTGACAGCAAGAGGTTTCTTAGAACCCAGGGCCTTATCATTTCCACTGTAGAGTGATGTAGCAGGGTTGGTGTAAGCTTAGGAGCTCATTGGTTTGGAGAATGTGCCCAGAAAAAAACACAGCTGTTGTCCTTCACGGCTTCTTGGAAGAAATTCAGAGATCTCTGATGTTTTACTCAAGCCTTCACCTCTGACCTGAGCTGTCTCAAGGTCATCGGCTAACTCTGGTGAACTTTTTACCTCTCTGTCTCCTTCTGGTTGACATGTGTTTCTTCTAGTAGTTGGTTTTACTTCTCTTCTTAATACTAATTAAATCAATTAATTTTTTGTAGTTTTTGTAAATTTATTTTAAAGTTTATACATGTTTACAGTATTTTTTATCATTTCCCCTCCCCTTTCAATTCATTCTATGCTCCCTTCCCCTTTCAATTCATTCTATGGCACCTTTTTATTTATTAGTGCAGTTTTTACATATACATATATGCCTACATATGAAAAATAAGCAAATAAAATCTGCTAAGTCCATTTAGAGTTGCTCATATTTATTTGCATTTAGGGTTGACCCCTTGGTATTGGATAATCAATTATGGGACTTGTCCATGGGGAAGACTGATTCTCTTTCCCAGCAGTTACTAATTGCCTACAGTTCCTCAGATTTCCATCTTCCCTGTTAACATGTTGACTGGTGTTGTTATTATTCAGGTCTTGTTTAAGTCACCATATTCTTGGGGTTTTGTGGATACATTTTCCCTGTTATATACAGAAGACAACAATATTGCAGCAGAAATCTTGGACCTCTGGATCACAATTTTGCCACTCCATCTTCTCTGATGTTCCTTGAGACTTAGTGGAAGTTGTGTTGCATCTACAGTATACATTAGGGCCAGGCAGCTCATAGTTAGCTTTTCTCTGTGTTTTGATCAGTTATGGCTTCCTGTAATGGTCTCTCTCCTCTACAAAAGAAGTGTCTTTGATGAGAGGTGAGAGTTACAAGCATCTGTGTGGATATGGATAAGTATGAAGAATGCATTTAGGTTTTATATTGATTTGAGACAGTGGCAGTAGAAAGTTCTTCTTTATGTCTGTGACCTGTGCAATCACAGGGAGTTGATTAGATTTACAGTACCAGGCATGAATTACATACTACTGAGTGGACTGTAGTCCAATTAGATAGCTGATGGTTTCTGCCCAGACATAAGTGCTACTGTTGTACCTTTAGAGAAATCTGGTCATGCTGCTCATTGTTGTGGTTTGGAGGTACCACAGTAGGAAAGATACTGATTGCTTTTTCTCCTTGGCAGCCTTCTGGTACTATGAAAGTTAGTCCTCAGGGAGGAGGCTTCTGGGTGAGATATAATTGGATCCCTCCATTTGTTTTTGTCTGATGTGCATGATGTCTTCAGCAATAAGGACTTACCCTCAGATTCTGAAAGGCAACCCAGGGTAACAGCAATAGCATACAATGTTTTGGAAGATTCTTGGACTGCCCTGGCTGTCAACTCAAACAATTTCCTGAGCATGGAACTGTTGTTTGTTAGTCATTGGCTCTTGTGAAGGCACGAACACCCCAGCTGGTATAGTTCAATTTAAACTTTATATTAAATATTAATTCCAAATAGCCCAAGTTCTATTTATTTCTTCTTTCTGACCCTCCCTCTGTAATGCCCTTCCTCTGTTCTTCCCACTTGAAGACTCCTCCCCCAATGTTCTTTATTCCCTCCATGAAGACTATGGGCAAAATGATGTCTTGTTCTTATTTCTGCTCTAGGTGTCGTGTAGGTACCCAGCAAACATAAAGGGTCTACCACATCAAAAAGAACATAGTGATTATTTTCACAAATTTTGTCAAGTCAGATAACTGAAGGAACAATTTATAATTTTTCTTTAATCTGAATCAGGTGCCATGTTCCTGTGGAAACTGTGATGGCATGTTTGAATGGTACCAACTGGAAGAATTTATGATTTAAACTTGTAGTTAGTATCTGATCTTTGTGAAAGACCTTTATGATTATTTTGTCAGTGGAGACTTGACATAAAAAATTGGTTAGCATTACCCCAAGATATTTTATGTAATTTGTGGCTTTTGTAAAGGGTGATGTTTCTCTGATTTATCTCTCAGCCTTTCTATCATTTATATACCAAAGAAGTGAAAGAACTATATAACAAGAACTTTGAGTCTTTAAAGAAAGAAATGAAAGAAGATAGCAGAAAATGGAAAGATCTCCCATGCTCTTGGATAGGTAGGATCAACATAGTAAAAATGGCAATCTTGCCAAAAGCAAACTACAGATTCAATGCAATCCCCATCAAAACCCCAACATAATTCTTCACAGACCTTGAAGGGACAATAATCAACTTCACAAGGAAAAACAAAAAACCCAGGATAGCCAAAACAATCCTGTACAATACAAGATCATCTGAGGGCTTCACCACCTATTACTTCAAGCTCTACTATAGAGCTATAGTAATGAAAACAGCTTGGTATTGGCATAAAGAGACAGGTAGACCAAGGGAATTGAATAGAAGACCCTAATGTTAATCCATACACCTATGAACACTTGATTTTTAACAAAAGGTAAAATTATACAATGGAAAACAAGGGTTATGCCTCAAGAAAGCTAGAAGTAACATTTGTAACCAGTCTGAGTAGGTGGTAAGGCTTATCTGAAGTTCTAATGTGAAGGTTTGGCTAGTGTTGTAAGAATATGGACCATCTCATCTAGCCAATTTGGAAGTGTCATGAACAGGTTATTTTAAAATTTTACATTTCAATCCTAGTTCCCTCTCTCTCTCTCCCTGCTTCCCTCCCTCCTTCCCTCTCTCCCTCCCTCCATCCCTCTTTCCCTACCTCTTTCCCTCTCTCCACCCTCACATGCACCCCAACCATCCTCCCATCACACCCCCCGCACTCCACATGTAGGGTGATGCCATCCAGGATGGGTCATCTAAATCTGTCAAGTCATTTGAAGTAGGGACTAGGACTTCTCTCCTATCTCTAGGTTAAAGGAGTATCCCTCCATGGGGGATGTGCCCAGAAGGTCCTTTTGTGCACCAGTAGTACGTCCTCGTTCCACTGTCTGAGGTCCCTTAGACTGCTCAGTCCTTCTAGCTGAGACCCATGTTCAGGAGATCTGAGTCAGTCCCATGCTGGATTCCCAGTTATTGTCTGGGGGGGGGGATGTTAGCTCCTCCTTGTTCAGGACAGCTGTCTCTATGTGTTTTTGCAGTGTGCTCTTGTCCTCTCTCTCTGCATCTGGATTCTAGTTCATCTCAGTGTTTAGTTGTGGGTGTTTGCTTCTGTTTCCAACAGGTACTAGACGAGGGCTCCATGATGGTAGATAAGTTAGTCATCAATCTCATTATCAGGGAAGAGCATTTATGGTGGCCTTTCCACTGTTGCTCAAATTGTTAGTAGGAATCAGTCTTGTAGATCTCTGGACATTTCTTTAGGTTCAGTTTTCTCTTCAACCCTGTAATAGCTCCATCTTTTATATTCTCTCTCACTGTCTCTGTCTCTGTCTCTCTCTCTCTCCCTCTCTCTCTTTTCTGTTTTCTATTCCTACCCTGACTCAATCTTCCTGGTCCCATGTACTTTCCTCTCCTCCCTTTCTCTTTCTCCTAGTTACCTCTCCACTCACTACACCCCCACTCCCCACGTGCTCTGGAGAATTTGTCCCTTCCCCATTCTGTGAGGGACTTTATATGAATCTCTTAGAATACACCTTCTATCCTAGTTCCTCTGGCAGTGTGAATTATAGGCTGGTGATCCTTTGCTCTAGGTCTAAAATCCATATATGAGCGAGTACACACCATGTTTCTCTTTTTGTGACAAGGTTACCTCATTCAGAATGGTTTCTTCAAGTTCTATCTACTTGCCTGCGAATTTCAAGATTACATTTTTTTTTCTCCCTGCAGAGTAGTATTTCTTTCTTATTTATTTATTTATTTATTTTATAACCAAGTCCATTTAAATGAAAACAAATATTTATAGAAAATATTTGGGAATTTGGGCGTCCTTCTTTCCAAATTACTTCCTGCTGGTAAGGGGCACTGTCATGGGGGATTCTAAGAAGATGCAGAAATCCTGGCTGTAGTCTGCAAGGCTGCTTTGTCCAGCTGTTTTGAATGTAGGATCACCTGGTACTCTGTTTCAGGCGGTCTGGCTTGATCAAACCACATTAGTCTGGAAAGAATCCACAGCTTTTCATTTTCTGTTGAAACAAAAATAGAAATACTTTCCCCCAGTAACTTGTCCTTGAACTTAAATTTTGGAGTCAGAGCATTTTTTTTATTTAGTTTATTATTTTACATGTCGATCACAGTTCCCTCTCCTTCCCTCCCTCCCTTTTACCCTCTCTGCCC